ACAGAGGCTTAGAAGCAAGAATGGGGGAGAGAGAGAGAGAGAGAGAGAGAGAGAGAGAGAGAGAGAGAGAGAGAGAGAGAGAGAGAGAGAATATATTTCAGCACCACGGACAGCTCAGAAACTGCCTTTCACTTATAGAATCAGAGTCCACCCAGATTGATTCAATATTTTGTTGATTGAAAGGAGAATATTTGTAGCTCATGGTTGAAAGGAAGGGTCCTTGGTGCTCTCTTAACTTGGTAGTTTTCCTGCAAGCGTTTCCTTCAACATTACACCCACACACAAGAGGGCAAATATAAACAGAGAGTAAAACCCCGCTCCTTACTAGCATTGATGATGTTATCTAGTTGGGTAATGAAACGTCTGCCAGAATAGTACAAGCAAGCTCATTGAGTACCAAGCACCCTGCAGTCCTCCTCCTCTTCGACCCCACAATCCCTCACTCCCTACTAGCACTGATGATGTTATCTAGTTGGGTAATGAAACCTCTGCGAGAAAACAAGCAAACTCAGAGAGCACCAAGGACGCCATAGTCGTTCTCCATTCCTCCTCCTCCACCACCACCACCACCTCCCCCTCCTCCTCCTTCTCCTCCTCCTCCTCCTCCTCCTCTCCACAATTTCTACTCCCTTCTCACACAGATGATGTTACCTAGTTGGGCAACGAAACATCTGCAAGACAACAAGCAAACTCAGAGAGCACCAAGGATCCCTCATTTTGTTGATTTGTCAGATTTGAAAGCCTGCCTTTGGCTTCAGGAGCTCAAACCAGTGGCTATAAACGCTCCTTTTCCCCCATGACAACAAACTTCCATAGAGATAAGTTGTGCTGAAAGAGAAAATGACTTTCCCCCAAAGTCACTCAATGATCTTTGTTATCATCATGCTGTTTATTGCAGCCTTAAGGTTGACATCTAATCTAGTTTTATTCGAAGTGGGAACATTGATGTACGACACTAGCGATTTTGGGATTTTTTTTTTAAAGGGCCCCTCCTCGTTTGCTAAATAATTGGTCCGCGAGAATTGGAGGCGCAAAACACTTGAGAATTGAGACTGGGATAGCTTTCTCGATGCGCAGAGTTGTTTTGGGAACGTTATGTCAAATCACGTTCAAGCCACAGGAAATCATGTAGCGGCCACCTTAGTCCATTGGAAAGAGATTTGATTTGAATAGCACAAGAGGGAAACTTCCAACCCCCTTCTTTGCTTGATTCTAATGTCGGGCCACGATGCTGGGGGGGGGGGGGAGACGCGGTTCTGATTTGCAGCCGCCCAAACATCCATCCATCGGTCCCTGTTTTGATGGCTTTGAAAATGTTCAAAGACGGTGGGAGGTAGCTGTGCTTAGCTGGAAGGCTAAATAAGTAATGGCGCTTGCCAGGAAAGGATGGAGAAAGGAACTGTCAAGGGGTTGATAGGCTCTCCAGTGGTTGGTCTGGGGCTGCTTCGAAGCCATCCTTCAGATGAAAAGCAATTTATTTCTCAAAGCTTTGGAGAGTTGAAGAAGTTTGAGCCTCTATTGAAAGCTAATAGCCCAGTTGTTTATTGCCTACTAGCTGGATACTCGTGCTCCGCTACGAAACTATGTGATCGGGCTTGATAAATTGACACTTACAGCTTGAAAATTAATGAGTAGTTATGATCGGCCTCTTCTCTCCCCTTCTCTCCCTCAGGCTTGTCCCACAAAAGCCTCCCGTATCCTATCCCCTTCTATCCCTCAGGCTGGCCCCATAGAGGCCTCTCCTACCTTATCCCAGCCTGCAGGCCAGATGAGTCATGCGCTGGCCACATCCACACCCAAGTGGCAGTTGGAACAGAGTTCTTTTCAGGTGGGGAGAGGAAGTAGAACGTCTGAACTCCCAGCCCGCAGGCTGGATGAGTCACGCGCTAGCCACATCCACACCCAAGTGGCAGTTGGAACAGAGTTCTTTTCAGGTGGGGAGAGGAAGTAGAACGTCTGAACTCCCAGCCCGCAGGCTGGATGAGTCACGCGCTAGCCACATCCACACCCAAGTGGCAGTTGGAACAGAGTTCTTTTCAGGTGGGGAGAGGAAGTAGAACGTCTGAACTCCCAGCCCGCAGGCTGGATGAGTCACGCGCTAGCCACATCCACACCCAAGTGGCAGTTGGAACAGAGTTCTTTTCAGGTGGGGAGAGGAAGTAGAACGTCTGAACTCCCAGCCCGCAGGCTGGATGAGTCACGCGCTAGCCACATCCACACCCAAGTG